TCGTTGTCGATGATAGCCAAGAGATCCGGTCGAGGTGACCGCGCTGCCCACGTAGCCATAGCAAACTAATTAAGTCGCATATACATAACGCCAACTTTTATCAAAGCGATATAATAAAATAAAAAAACAAAAAACACGGAGGAAAAATATATAGAAAAAAAATAACACCGAAATGAAACCCTCGCTATCTATGAGAAAACCAACACACATACTCGTATGCGTTTTGTAGATAATCGACACAAGAGTCGAAAAAAAGAACTGGAAACAGTTTATCAGCCCCTAATGAATGAAGCTTGGTCAGTGATAAGAGAGCCCAAAGAGTCTTTAAGCCACGCACGTGTGCTGCCAAAAACCACAAAAAGAAACAGAACGGTTTATAGATAGTATGTAAGTTATTTGAATACCCTATACGATTGACTGACAGGTTTTTACATTTTTACAAATAATTACATTGGTATAAGTCACAAAATATTCAAGTCAAATAATTATTACTCAAAAATTGCAGAAGCCCCATGCCTTTATGTAAGTTGGATTCAAATTTAGAACAAGAAAGTAAACCTAAGCCTCATTACAGAGTAACTCTTGACCAAGAATTGCCATTTTCGATTTTTTTTTTCTCTTTTATAATAATTTTGTATAACAATTGCTGACGCTGCTTGAACGCCCATCAATCAAAGCGCTGTCGAGTGTCTCACAAAAATATTTATAATAACTTGAAACTTTTTTTGCGCACTCGCGAGTAGCTTTCAGCGTTTTCAATTTCATTTAGAGGCCTTTAATTGCCGAAATCAATTCAAAAGCCAGTTGAACGCGTTAAAAACAGCCACAGCAGCCACCAAAAACAACAACAACAACAACAACAACAACAGCAACGAACGAGCAACAAACCAAAAAGTTTAATAATTATTAACAAGACAGCGAGTTCATTAGCGCCGCAGGCGCACTAAATACAAATAAAAAATAACAAAAATAAACGAAAAAATTCGGAAATTTTAAATAAAAATACAAATAAATGTTGGGTAATTAAGACTTGTCTTCTGTATATGTAGATATTACGAGTACTCGATACATTGTGTGTGCACGGCAACGAAAAGGCGTCTGGAAACTTGTTCTACAACTTGTTTTTACATACCGTCCATAGACTAGAATTGCACACGGGCTGCGACCTGGGAGCTGGCAGCTGGGGGCTGGGGGCAGGCGAAACTCAGGCGATAATATGTAGTCGCACCATATGCGATAATGTTGCGAGCACATGATATAATAAAATAGGAATGTGCAGCAATTGGTCGCACACACACACACACACACACACACACACACACACACATAGATAGAGATAGTACTTATGTATATAAATAACAAACTATTGGCTTGTATTACACTTTATCAAGCCATGAGCATGGTTCAGCTTAGCTCAGCCGCAGCTCAGCTCAACTCGGTTCAGCTCGATTCGGTTCTGTTTACGGTGCAGCATACTTGGGCCGCAGTAAATTTCCATAAATTTACATGCAATAAATCAAATTGAAAATGTTTTTCTGCTAGCAGACGAACTGAGTGAGCTCTCTTATCTCCATTGACTGGCTGTCTGTGCGTCTCTGTCTGGGCCTGGGCTGCTGTGCGCCGAAGAAACTAAACAGTGGGCTTATCAATTCAGCGCTGACAAAGTGCAATCAACTCTGCAAGCGCTGCGTTTCCTCGTAAGACCCAATCGTGCTGCTGATGATGATGATGATGTGTGTTGCTGGCGATGACTAACTTGACAGTTGGACACCCCACGCAGTCCGCAGACGCAAACCACAAGACTGGCCGCATGTTTTATTATTTGGTTAAACAAAACACAGCCGGCAAAAATGGCAAATGCTGACGCCGATGAACTCATTCATTGCTTCCATTCATGCAGCGGCACATATTGCCAAGAACTGAGAACTGAGGTCTGAGAACTGAGAAACTGAGCTGCCGACCACAGACAACAGCCCCAAAATGGCAGTCAGTCGGCGAGGGAGTCAGTTGGGAAGTTGACTGCCTGCTAAAATGTACTTAACATGCCTAATGGATTTTTGAGCTGGCCACCACAGGAACTGCTGGCTAAAAGGAAATGCACCAACAATAAAACGTGCAAAACATCAAAGTAAAAGCCAACTGTGCGGCTCTTTCAGCTGTTTTTGTTTCTCTTTTTCTTTTTTTTGTTTTGACTCAACCGATGACTAATTCACACCGCAGCTGATAAAGTCCAAGCATACAATGCATATGCATATATCGAGTGCGAATCCCTTGACTCGGCGCTTCTAGTGTCAACAGACACTATGCTAATTAAGCTATGCAATACATTTGGGGCAGCTTGACAATTACGTCATCCAAGTACAACATCATCAACATGATCATCCGCATTGGCTAGCCAAGAATTGTAAAATTGCGCCTCCGTTTGCATATTGCACTTGGCAGACAGTCGAATTGCTTCTGTCGGTCAATTCTGGTTGTCATATGGCGCTACTTGCATTCGGCCAGTGCTGTTGATAGCACTTTTCTACAAAATGCACGTTTAGGAAATTTTTTTATATTTTTTACTTTGATTTGTATTTATTTTTTTAGCTATATATATTTTTACTTGAAGTCAAAACAAAAACATAATAGCGACGACATGTGTTGTTGTGCATGCGCCAAGGAAAAAATAATTCTGCTTATTTTGTAGAACTTTACTTACGGTTCAGACAATTTTGTAGGAATTATAATAAGGAATAATCGGTAGCACGTACCTGTAAAGAAAAACAATATAAATTTTATTTAATAAACATTTTCAAAGAAATCTAAGGAAATAAGCAATTCTTTAAGTTAATAAATAAATTAAGAATACAAATTTGTATTAAATTATATGTTAGGAGCTATTAGAACACATTATCATCTAATGAAAATTCCTGGTATAGATTTCACAGGCATATCTATCAATCTAAGCAAAACTTATATTTATTTCAGCTAAGTCAATCAAATTGTAGGCACAATCTGAGCAGAAAATAAAAATAAAATATTATATACATAATTAAACATATATAAATATTTCTGATCGACAGCGATAGCTCAGCTAATTAGAATTTTTGAAGGCAAAATCTTGGCAAGCATGATGTATATATACTTGTGTGCCTTATCGATAGAGATAGATCAGGCAATAACATTTTATGAAGGCGCCAGCGCCGTGCATTAATCATCCAATCATGCAGAGATAGGCACGACATAGGGTAATGAATGGGAACGTGTTTAAACTTATCTATATTTATATGCTTGGGTAAATGTATATATATATAAATATATTTCGTAAGTCGCGAATTATCACGCAAGCTGATTCACACATTCTAATAGCAAATCGAGCGTACGAAAACTTAAATTCAATTAAAAAGAGCTTTTGGAGAAAAATCAATCAGTTATTGAGAAGGAAACTAGAAAAACTTAAAACAACAAAAGCCAACGCGCTAACGACAAATAAACTTAATTAAAAATCAAAAATGTGGTGCACAAGTCAACAAACCACCCACACAGTGGCAGAGGCAGCGGAAAAAAGCAACTGCACAAATTGAAAATAAGAAACAAACAACAACAAAAAAAAAAGAAGAAAAAAGCGAATTGCACTTCAGCGTACAATGGCCATAAATATGAAATCGTATGGTAAATTAATGCTATTATAGCGTCTAAAATACAACACACGGTTAAAACTACTCTGTAGAAGAAAAAATGTTTAGAAAAGACTAACAACAACAACAACAACAACATCAGCACCAGCAGCAGCAGCAACAGCTGAAAAAAGAGCCATATTTGAAGACCTTGTACGTGTGCTGCCTACACAACCAGTTCGCAGTTTTAACTTATTTCAATTTTGTGCCTAGCCTGGCCTGCTCTGGCCTGGCCTGGTCTGGTCTGGCCGGCTCCGGGGACTGGCTCTGACGACGTTTTGGTTTCTTGGTGTATATATGCATGTCTCTCTATATATATTTATATATGTATATTTATACATATGGCGGCACTTGATTTGCATAACAAATGCTGCAGCAGCAGCAGCAGCAGCAGCAGCAGCAACATCAGCTAAAACAGCCCAGTTCGCTGAAGCATATCAAAAGCACCAAAAAGATTGCTTGCCAAAAAAAAGATCATAATAATAACAAAAAAAAGTGCGGCAAAATTCACTTTAGATTCATCAAATGCGCACCTAAAGTCAGAGCTCGTCGCGCTCAATTACGGCAAAATTTCACTCCATTAAGACACACACCTCGCGCGCCCATAAAAAGTGAATGTCTATCATTAAGAAATATTTGTCCCCTTCCCAGCCCCCCCTTCCCCCTGCGACCGACCGACCATCGGTCCATTATCAATGAAATGCTCTCAGCGCGCACTGCGCACAGCAATTTTCCATTTCCGCTTTTATGCAAAATTAATTGCACTTAATTATGACCGAAAATTGCCAGCAATTGAACGCCTTGCGATTAGCTCACCTGGCGCAAAAAATTGCCATCACAAATTTGAATGAAAATAAATATAAAAACAAATTAGTCTAATAAAAAGCAACGACAAATTTGTGGTTTTTTTAATTTACATGCCCAAAATGACAGTTGTATATAAATAATAAGCTTCATTTCATAATGGAGCTCGTTAAAAATGCTAATTTCCAAGCAGATATTCAAAATTGGCGCCATTCTGACGCCCGCGCCCTTCACATAGGGCACGCAATGCGCGCACCACCCCCCCGCCCGTTGAAAACATGCTACACTGTGGCAACTACCTACACTACAGACGTGTCAGTTATTGACAAATTGGCAAATAGCTGAGCGGCAAATAGGGAATGCCTAAAATATTGTACACTACGTGTCCGACAGAACGGCCCTTATATAGTGCGTGTGTGTGTGTGTGTGTTTGGGTGTAGATGGACATTAGTCAGCATTTGACGTTGATTGCGTAGCACGGTATTGTGATTGTTTGCATTTTCACATTTACTTATATTTATTTATTTATGTACAACACACATAAACAAATTACGCTGTAAACAAAAGCAAGCGTAGCGCACAGGCGGACAGGCAGGCGGGCGAACAGGTGAGTGGGGTGGGTGGGGGGTAGTGTAGACATCGAGGTATGGCAAATATGCATAACCAGGCAAAAGGTTAATTATGCAGGGTATTTTTACAATACAATTTTCCACATGGAATTAGTCAGCTTCGTTCATCAGTCACTCAGTTCGTCAATCATTTTGTGTAGTGGTTGCGCTTTACTTGTACATGAAAATCGTGTTTGTAGTTTTTATTATTATTTGGTTTTTTTTTTGTTTAAAATTTTCACTGCAGTTTAACAGCCAAACAAATTTTTTGACAAGCAACTGACAGAAATTGACAAGCGCACGAGCAATGGGCCGTCAAATGTATGGGGAGCAGCAAATGGAGCGGCGGAGGGGCAAGACTAGCAGCGGAGCAGAGCAGACCAGTCTTAGAGCATAGACAGAACTGTACAGTAATGTGAAAGATGATTCCAGCTGTGAAAAGGTCAACATAGAGACCCAGGCATTTAGCCAGACATGCTGTGTGGCTGCCCGTCTGCCCGGTCTGCCCTGTCTGCATGCTGTCTATCTGTCGTGTGTCGTGCAGAGCTATTGCTGTCATGTTACTTGCCTCACTTTCCAATGGCTAAAAGAAAAGAAAAGTGCAGCCTGAGAACCGATCAGGCCATTTCTCCCAGCCATCAAACAAGGGTCGTGCTGAAGACGAGCTAATATTGACAAATTAAATGCAGTCTAATGTGTGTTTAATGTGTGCGTCCAGTTGATTGTTGATCGGCTTCATTTCTCTAAGCGGAAGCCTCCCGCCGAGAAGCCCCCAGGTCCGTCTATACATATATATAAAACATGTGTACACAGCGATGTCAGCTTCAAAAGGTTCGCTTGCATCATTTTCACATGTTAATTACTTTTTTTTTGCATTTGTTGTTTATTGTTTACCTCCCCAGTTGAAACCTATCGATCTGTGGCTGAGACTTGGGGCTAGCTCTGAGTTGAAGAGCTTAACAAATATATAAATCTCGTTAGCTGCTTGTGAAATGTACAATTGTTGAACAAAAAAACACAAAAATAAACAATCCCTAAACTTAGTTATATAAAATTATAACGTTCTGATTCCTGAGCTGACCAATAGAAAAACTATCGTAAAATACGAATTTTTATGCTCAATAAGATCTGTGAATTGTTCTTCAAATCAGTTTTTTTTTAAATATCGTCTCGAATGCATTTTTAAAAGGGAAGATAGAAGATTCGTTTTAATTTACGGCATTAATTTTAGTTTTCGATCAAATATTGTATTTGGCTCATATTTGTTTTTAGCTTAAGAATTAAATGAATACTTATAATTGTGTACAAAAAAAGTAAAAATAGAATTAATAATGTTTAATATATTTAACAATTTTTAATGATTTTTATATCACATATTTGAGTTTTCAACAAGCCGAACCATGTGTTGACAAAGTTTCAACACTCGACGAGTGCTATAAAGAGAAAATCCCGCTGCACAAATGCATCTGCTTGCAATTTGAGGCAACATATGTGAGTTTGCCTAGGCCCTGGAGCATAAAAAATATATACAGAAACATAAGAATACATACAACACATGTGATGTGTTTGTTTGTGTATGTGTGTGTGTGCTCGTGTGTGTTAAAACTGGCAGCCAAAGGCAAGGCAATTCAAAAGTCATTGAGGCGCAAAAGTCAAGCATAAATATTTCAAATAATGTTTGTTGGCCCCGGCCGGAGCCCCACAACGCCACTGGGCACTGGCAATAGCTGTGGCTATAGCAATAGCATTGGGTCTGGGTCTGGGCCTGATGCTCTCTGCGCTCTGTGCTCTGTGCTCAGGGCAAGCAACGTGTGTGTGTGTCATAATTTGGTGAGAGTTCGAGTTCAACAGCTGAAAAACAGCCACAACAACAGAAACAACAACAACAACAAGCGCATTAACTCGAAATAAGAACAACACGATTCCCAGAGCAGTGTTTCGAGGAGAGCAGAGACTGGAGGCATCGCTGTAATAGTCGCCGACGACGTCGCTGATGACCTCAGTTAAAAATAAATAATACTTTACATTGTTTGGAATTAGTTGCTGTTTTTGGTTAGAATATTGTTGCATCCATCTACAACTGTGTATCTATGTATATATGATATGTAGCTGTGCTGCTTGTTTAGGTTGTAAGTTCAGGGTGGCGCTCAGTGTCGCCTCCCGTTGATGACGATAGCAACAACAACGATGACAACGCAGACAACGCAGACAACGACAACAACATCGGCATACAAATCATTTTGTCAACTCAACTTGTTCTGGCAGCTGTATAGGGTATTTATGTAAATTCTTGTACGACATTTATCACAGATGAAATTGATGAACCTGCCCGTGATATATGGCTATAAAGATGGGGGAGTTATACACCCGATACAGCTGGGGAATACGAAATGAAGAGCATCTGTAGCAGTTCCTCAAGCTATACCGTTCGTGGAATTAATTTATAACCAAACGTTTAATAATGGTTTTTGGTCTGTTTTACAAATCAAAATTTTCTAAATATGATTTCTATATAAGAAACCAGATGGTTTTCGAAAACTCCAACTCCACTCTTCAAGATAAGAAATCGAGTTTTAGATCAGTAAAGGGTTCTTAAAACTGGAATGTTTCCGATTTATTTAAAGATACAAGTTCTTAAAACAGTTGTGTTAAGCATTTAACTTAAACTCGCTTTTTATGCCCTTGTATAGGGTACAATGCATCTGTCAATAAGAGTGTAATGCTTAGAAGGATTGCCATATATATTCTTGATCAGTATCTCCGTGTGAAGAAAGAAGTTTTCCTTTTTCAAGATATCTTCACCAAACTCAGCATTTGTTTGCCTCATAATTGTCCCCTCAGCTCTCATAAGACATATGCTTAAAAGGGTATTTAATACCACTTTTCTTTGTTGTTTTCATTAATCTAATCTTCAAGTACGCCTAGTTCTGCTAAAATCAAGCCGATTTACAAATGAAAAGGCCTATATTAAATACTGCGGCATTTAAAATTGTTTGAACATAAATCTCTTCTGAGAAAACAGAAATACGATTCATAGTATAGGAATACGAGACGGTATAGTATAAAAACATTTGCTCAACTAATTGGCTGCATAAGTTTGCGTGGCATGTTATGGTAAAAATAAACAAATAAATGTGTATTTATAATGTAATTTCTGGACAATTTAAAATTCTAGAGGTTCTAAGTTTGTAATATTTCAAGGATTCCGATTAAAACGCTGGGCTATATTTTGGGTGCTCAGCAATCAGCTGTGTCTCACTTTACCGAAACGAGGCAAACAGAGTAATATAAGCACAAACCATATTGTTTCAGTTGTATTTACCCCGAGTTTGCAGTTAAATTAAACGAGCGCACGCACAAGTGTTTCTTTATAGGTTTATATACATATATATAGGTACATATACATATATGTAGAAGCATATGTGGAAAATAAACAAAAAGGTAAAAAAAAAACCAGTTTATATGAAGGTGGTGTAAAATGCGCGAACCACTCCAAATACATAAGTATATTGTATTCTATAGCTACGAATCGAATAAAGAAATCGAGCTGAACTCCCTTGTGCTTCATAAAAAAAGGGGATGACGCATGCATAATAATACCGGAAATATATCGATGCAAATCAGAGAACCGCAGCTCATTGAAGTATTGTGTTTATTTCATCAACACAACATCGGAGAATTCCAAACACCAACCACAACTCAAATATAAAGTTGAGAAAATAAATAAAACGGGTAGAACAACCGAGCGATATCCCAACAGTCAATATGGTTCGAACATTTTTATATATGTTATCATTAAATTTACGATCGACTTTATTTTTACTGTAGAAAAAAAGAGACTTTTCGGGAATATAAATCTTTTGCAAATTAGAATTCATTTTCAAAAACACTGCATTCACTGCATTTGGAAGATCAAGAAACACTGTTTATGATTTATGATTTCTGAGTTTTGATGCCGTAACGCTGACAATCGAAACTGTCTCCAACGATCGTCGGAAAGGCAGCGAGATAAAGTCTGCGGCTTGTTGTCTCAAGTGCGAGTGCACGATCCGATTTGGATCGCGGTGATGAAACTAGAAGAGCGAGCCAGATAATGCATGCGACTAACTAACTGTTAGCACATGCGTACGGCATATAATATAGGTTATCACTATATCATTTCCGAGTCGCTCGAACAGCCGAGACGAGCCACCAGCCACCACTCAGCGAGCTGACAAGATAAAGCGGCCTAGCCGACTAAAAAGGAGAGACAACCGCAAGCCCAAGCCCAGGCCCAAACCCAGACGCGGACGCAGACGCAGACCCAGGCCATTCACAGGCGCAGGCCAATTGCGATAGTGATAGTGATAGCTACGTGTATGTGTTTGTGTGTGTGTGTATGTATGTGTGTGTGTTTTAGTTTTGTGCTTGTGTGGCATATGCCGGTTTGAGTAGAGTCTGTTTTTTGTTTTTATACCCTCTACGCATTCAAAATGTCAAGAGAACGGGTATACTGAGTGTCACGAGCAAATAGAATAATCTTCCATTTTGGAAAATGATGATAAAGTCTTATTAAACGCTTTGTAGTAGGTATTTTTTTTAAAATTAAATATTAAGAATCAAAATAAGAATTGTACTTTAAGAACAAAAACGACTTTAAACTAAGTACAAAACGCTTAAAAGCAAGAAATATATATAAATTAATATACATATAAAGATTTTGGATAAGTATTGAAAGCTGATTTAATTTTGGACAAGTCGAGTTGATTGAAAATCATTGATAGCTCAGTTCCTCACCCAAAATTGATAAAGATCGATTTTTACTCCGGGTAGCTTAAAAAGAGAAACAGAACAACCAAAGTTTAGAAATAACTTTTGGATACCATTTTGTATTCCTCCTAATGTTAACAATGGAACTTCCCACGTTTAAAGTAAAGTTGAGTGTCATTTTTTACACCAAAAACTGTACAACTCTCGATCGAAAATCACAGTAGCTATTATAGAATCCAGTTTCGATATTGTTTGTCTGGGGGAATGTAACAGAACGCAAACGGCTACAGGGTATCTGGTAGTCGGTCATACGCGACTGGAGCGCTCTTGCTTGTTATTTATTTATTTATTTCGTTTAGTTGTTAATTTTTATTTTTGGAGTGAAAGTAACTGCAAACATAGCGACAACAACTAAATGTTTTCTAACACGCTCTGTTCTAGGAAACTTCGTCTCTCGCATTAACTTTAGCATCTGCAGATGTTGTTGCTGTTGTTGCTGTTGTGCTTGTTGTTGTTGCTGCACACAGATAAGCTAATGTTTGCCCGCTGCCAATGATAAGCGGCATGGGGTCGGCTCTGTCGATTTAGACCAACTTTTACACGTACCTTTTAGACGCGCTTGCAGCTGCTTTGATGCAAAAGAGATAGAGACACAGATGGAACAAGAGGGTTTGTGCTTAAAGGCAAAACACAGACAATTCTCTTTGAACACACAAATATAATTATTTTTATTTTGTATTAGCTTCACCAATTTCAAATATTTGTGCAACTTCAATTTATTAGATTATATTCCAATTCAATTTCAAAAACTTCTCACTTTACGCACATTGTTGTTTTGCGCTCGTTTTCGACATTTCAATTTCGATTATAATTTCAACATGTTTTTCTTTTCTTTTGGAGCTTATGCCAGAATTTTGTAATCTAAAACAAAAACAAACGCGGCGCGCTCTCCCTCTCTCTCTCTTTCTCTCTCTCTCCCTTTCTCTCACGAGAGCACACACGCACACGCTCACAACGGAACCGAAACGAACCGAATAGCTCAGAAAACAGATTTTTACGCACTATTTAGCTTTATATTTTACTGTAATTTTTTCCTGGTTTTTATGTGTATGTGTGTGTGTGTGTATGCGTGTATAAATGGTTGAGTGCGGGAAGGCGGGGAGCTGTGCGAAATTGAAGCCGAAAAAAACACGCGAGTTCGCCGCGTCTTGACAATCGAAGCGTTTGTTTTGTTTGCAACTGCAATTTCCGCGCTCGCTTCTTTTTGTTTA